CCTGCCAGACAGGAACAGCCCTGCATGGTGCTTGGCCTCAGGAAGGGTCCTGGCCTGTCCCATGGCTCAGCTGGGTGGACGGGACATGGCCATCACCCATACCCCTTGGCGAGGGCTCCTGCCATGGTGCAAGCAGTGCCCAAAGCTTCATCATCATCCCTGGGGCCATCATCCACCAGCGCCTCCAGCCCACATGGTCCCTGTCTCACTGTGTCCCACAGGTCAGACCTGCGAGATCGACATCAACGAGTGTGTGAAGAGCCCCTGCCGCAACGGGGCCACGTGCCAGAACACCAACGGGAGCTACCGCTGCGCCTGCAGGACCGGCTTCACTCGCCGCCACTGTGCAACCGCACTGCAGGCCCAGTAAGAGCAGGGGCTACCCCTGAGCTACCCCTGAGCCATCAGCTTCTCTGCCCATCCTGGGGCTGGGATCCCCCTCCCTGTGCACAGGCGAGCCCCGGCCACTGCTTTGGTCTGGGCCATGCTGCAAGCCCTGTTGGGGCTTCTGGGAATCTAAAGCATGTCCCAGCTGAGCCATGTCAGTCCGAGGCCAGATGGGAACTGCTGGCAGAAAGGATGTTGTGGGAGGAGAGGTGACGTGCAGGCACTGAGCAAGTGTGTCCGATGTATCCTCCTTGTTCCCAGTCCCCCAGTGGGGCCAGCCTGGCCTCTGCCTGGTCCGTGGGCTCTGTCCCATCCCTCTGCATGGCCAGGGGACATGTGCAGGGACAGTGCTGTGGGGCAGCTCCTGGGCTGGACCCATTGTATCTTCACATGCATGTCCCTCCTCTCCAGATCCATGCCACAATGGTGGCTCCTGCTCCGATGGCATCGGTACGTTCTTCTGTGAGTGCCTGGCTGGCTTCCGTGGGCCCAAGTGTGAGGAGGACATCAACGAGTGTGCCAGCAACCCCTGCAAAAACGGTGCCAACTGCACCGACTGCGTCAACAGCTACACCTGCACTTGCCCCTCTGGCTTCAGTGGCATCCACTGCGAGAACAACACACCTGACTGCACAGAGAGGTACAGCCCAGCACAGCTCCTGCCGTGGGCACAGCCTTTGTCAGGGCTGGAGCAAGGGGCTGAGGTCCCTGCACTGTCCCATAGCCCTGGGGTGGTTTGCAGGGTCTTTGGCGTGGAGCACGGCCAATGGTGACTCACTGGGATGTGATATTTGTGTTACCAGCTCCTGCTTCAATGGTGGGACCTGCGTGGATGGCATCAACACCTTCACCTGCATCTGTCCACCTGGCTTCACGGGCAGCTACTGCGAGCACAACATTAATGAGTGCGACTCCAAGCCGTGCCTGAATGGGGGCACATGTCAGGACAGCTATGGGACATACAAGTGTACCTGTCCCCAGGGATACACCGGGCTCAACTGCCAGGTAGAGGAGCCTTCAGCTGTCCTAGCCGCTGACCCCAGTGCCCATCCATGCACGTTGGCTGTGGGGATTATGAGGGTCACTGCAGCCTCCACCCTGGGTGTCCTGCAGAAGCCCTGCTGGATCCTGAACCTGTCCCCTGCTCTGCTTCCCCTCAGAACCTGGTGAGATGGTGTGACTCCTCTCCTTGCAAAAATGGAGGCAAGTGCTGGCAGACCAACAACCTGTACCGCTGCGAGTGCAACAGCGGATGGACAGGGCTCTACTGTGATGTCCCCAGTGTCTCTTGCGAGGTGGCTGCTAAGCAGCAAGGTAAGTCCCTGCCATGTGTACAGCCTCACAGTGCCAGGGTGGGGTCCCCAGGTGCCCCCTGTGCTGGGCTCTGAGCAGGGACTTGCTCACTTTTCTTGCTGAGGATCTTTGGCACAACCAGAGCGATCTCAAGGATTGCTTTACATGCCCGCCCTGAAGCTGCAGTCTTGGCTGTGATCCTTGGTGGGATGTGTGGTGGCCAGTACATGGCCCTGTGGTGTGTGGGTGTCACTGAGGTCTCCACGTCTCACTCTGCTCTCCTCGGCAGGTATCGATGTCGCACATCTCTGCAGGAATTCAGGGCTCTGCGTGGATACCGGCAACACTCACTTCTGCCGCTGCCAGGCCGGCTACACTGGCAGCTACTGTGAGGAGCAGGTGGACGAGTGCTCCCCAAATCCCTGCCAGAACGGAGCCACCTGCACGGACTACCTGGGAGGTTACTCCTGCGAGGTGGGTGCTGCGGATGCAGAGATGCATAGGGAGAAAGCACCAGTTACTGCCTTTGTGCTCTCCCAGGAGCTGCCCTAGCTTCAGGCTGGCTTGGTGCCCCTTCACCGAGTTGAAGGCTGGGGTGCTGACTGTGCTCCTGCAGGCATGTGGTGAACCTCTCTGATAGTTCCCCTCTTCCCTCCTTCTAGTGTGTGGCTGGTTATCATGGAGTTAACTGCTCCGAGGAGATCAATGAGTGCTTGTCCCACCCATGCCAGAATGGAGGAACCTGCATCGATCTCATCAATACCTACAAATGCTCCTGCCCCAGAGGAACTCAAGGTAAATTAATTCCCCAGGCTGGGGCATTAGTGTGCTGAGTGCAGATATCCTCAGTATCTGCTCATTAGCTGCTCAGGCTAACAGAAGCAAATGCAACGGTAGAGGTTTGTGTTTACTTGCGAGCTTAGCCATCAAGGCCACGTAACCTTGGACGCAAGCTGCTCAATGCTGCGTGCCTCCTGCCAGAGCGGCGGCTCAGACTGCCATTGAGTTGGTCAGGCTCAGCCCCTTCGCAGGGAAGGTTCACACAAAGGGACCACCGGGCACCCCGATACTGTTTGATGAGCTGTGTGGGTTGTTCCCCCATTTCTCTAGGGGTGCACTGTGAGATCAATGTGGATGACTGCAGCCCTTTCTTTGATCCTGTCACCCTGGGGCCCAAGTGCTTTAACAATGGCAAGTGCACGGATCGGGTAGGTGGCTACAGCTGCATCTGCCCACCTGGCTTTGTAGGGGAGCGCTGCGAGGGAGACGTCAACGAGTGCCTGTCCAACCCCTGCGATGCCCGCGGCACCCAGAACTGCGTGCAGCGGGTCAATGACTACAAATGCGAGTGCCGACCTGGCTACGCAGGTGAGAGCCACGTCCCCTCCACTCCCAGCACCCTGTCCTGCAGCTCCCAGCCACCCCGTGCATCTCGCACACCTTCCTCTGCTCCTCATGCCCTCCTCTCCCTCGGCAGGCCGTCGCTGTGACACTGTGGTGGATGGCTGTAAAGGCAAACCCTGCAGGAATGGTGGAACGTGCGCGGTTGCCAGCAACACTGGCCGCGGCTTCATCTGCAAATGCCCTCCGGTAGGTACCTGCTCCTCTCCGGCTCTGAGCATGGGATGGTGCACAGGCCCTGAATTCAGCCTTTCACAGAGAGGGACAGTCAAGGGGCCAGTTTATCCCAGCTGGGATAGCCAGGGGCGAGCGTGGAGGGGGAGATCACAGAATCATCAAATGGTGTGAGTTGGAAGGGACCCACAAGGATCATGGAGTCCAACTCCTGTCCCTGCACAGGACAATCCCAAGATTCAGACCATGTGTCTGAAGTCCTTGGCCAAATGCTGCTGGAATCTTGTCAGGCTTGGTGCCATGAGCACCTCCCTGGGGAGCCTGTTCCAGTGCTCCACCACCCTCTGCCTCAAGAACCTTTTCCTCATGGCCAACCTCACCCTCCCCTGCCACATCTTCCTGCCATTCCCTCTGCTCCTGGCATTGGTGGCCAGAGAGAAGAGATCAGCACCTGCCCCTCCTCTTCCCCTTGTGAAGAAGTTATAGAGCACGATGAGATCTCCTCTCGGTCTCCTTGATGCTTTGCTGCGGGTGCTCGCTGGAGGGAGGAGTATCCATGTATCCCTCCTCACCTGCAAGGAGACTGGGTTAGGGTCAGGGAGAAGAAGGCAGCCCAGCCATGCAGGTACGATGCACTGCTCTGTAGGACTGACTCTTGCCTGGTTGACCATTATTTGTACCATGTAAAGGTGGAGCAAGCAGCTATGGAGAAGAGCTCCCTTCATTTTGAGGGGGATGCTCTAACAGGGTTTACATTCCAGATTATTCTTGCCCATCACTAAGGATCACTAGAGCCATGCCCTAGGTACATCGATCTGATTCACTGGGTTTGTGTGGAGTTTTCGAGAACACACACGTGTGTTAGGCTGCTCGTAGGACAGTGTCAGTGATTCTCACTCCCTCCTTGCTGTCACCTCCCCAGGGCTTCGTGGGTGCCACCTGCGAGAACGACTCCCGCACCTGTGGAAACCTGCACTGCCTGAATGGTGGCACCTGCATCTCCATCCACAAGAGCTCCAAGTGCATGTGCGCACCAGCCTTCACGGGTCCTGAGTGCCAGTACCCGGCCAGCAGCCCCTGCACATCCAACCCCTGCTACAACGGGGGCACCTGCGAGTTCTTCGGCGATGCCTCCCCCTACTATCGGTGCAACTGCCCGGCCAACTTCAACGGCCTCAACTGCCACATCCTCGACTTTGATTTCCAAGGTGGGATTGGACAGGATATCATCCCACCCAAAATTGAGGAGAAGTGTGAGATTGCAGTTTGTGCGGGGTATGCTGGCAACAAGATCTGCGATGGGAAATGCAACAACCATGCCTGCGGCTGGGATGGGGGCGACTGCTCCCTCAATTTCAACGACCCCTGGAAGAACTGCTCCCAGTCTCTGCAGTGCTGGAAGTACTTCAACGATGGCAAGTGCGATGCTCAGTGCAATAACCCTGGCTGCCTCTACGATGGATTTGACTGCCAGAAGTATGAAGGGCAGTGCAAGTAAGTGACTTGCTCATTGACCCTCTTGTTTTAAAGCCGTGACTTCTGTGCTGATCATCCAGGAGTATTTTCTGGTTGCATCTGCTAAAGCTTCTAAGTGCAGACTTGTTGTTCGCTCTCTACATTCTCTTCTGCTGCTCATGGGGCTGCAACTCAAGCAACCACACTCCCCTGTGTTCTTGCTGAGTTTATGTACACTTGCAAGCTTTCTGGCTCATTGCAGACAGCTTCCCTGTCCTTGCCTGTATCACACCACAGAAGTGAATTCAACTCACAGTAGTAACACGGTGAGTTTCAGTGTAGGGAGACCCCAGATGGAAGAGCAGCCAGAAAACACAATGATGTTAACATTCAGGCAGTTACCAAACATTGCCTTTGGCAACAGCAGGAACTTAATCCCAGGTTCCTGGACAAACTCTGGTCTAAGTAGCTGTTCTGTGTCCCCATGACTTCTCTGAGTCACAGTGATTTGTCCATTTTTGTGGCATCTTAATTGCAACTTATAATTTATCAGCTGCCATCTTTCACCTGCATAGGTGAACACTTCACAGCACTGCATGCAACAGTTGCCTTCTATGTAAACTGGCTTAGTGTCTATCAGGATGAATATTTATGCAAAAGAGAGGTCCTTGTGGACCACCACATATTTTCTCAGCAGACAGGTAACATTCTCACTACTCAGTCTAATTCATTCTTCTGCCTTTCTTTTTCTCCTGCCCAGCCCTCTCTATGATCAGTACTGCAAAGATCACTTCTCGGATGGTCACTGTGACCAGGGCTGCAATAATTTTGAGTGTGAATGGGATGGTCTGGACTGTGCAAACAACATGCCAGAGAAGCTTGCTGATGGCACGCTGGTGGTGGTGGTCCTCATCACTCCCGAGAACCTGAAGAACAACTCTTTCAACTTCCTGCGGGAGCTGAGCCGCGTGCTGCACACCAACGTGGTCTTCAAGAAGAACCCCAAGGGAGAATATATGATCTTCCCATACTATGGCAATGAGGAGGAGCTGAAAAAGCATTACATCAAGAGGTCAACAGAGGACTGGTCGGATATGTCTAGTGCTGTCATCAACAAAGTAAAGAGCAGCTTCTACTCCAGGTCTGGCAGAAGGCAGAAGAGAGAGCTCGATCAGATGGACATCAGAGGGTGAGAGGGACCAATGGGTTTCTTTTTCACGGAGCAACATTTGTTTTCCGTGTTGATAATAGTAACACGCCATAAAGGGAAGGATGTAGGCCAGATAATCGTATTTAGACATTGCTTTCTGTGTGAACAGAAACCGGATTTTGCTCTCATGTGGGAAAAGCGAGCGATCGCTCAGGAGTCCCTGATACAATGCTGCAGGACTCTCACGATTGAAGGAGTCCTGTGTATTGTTGGGAGCCAGGGCTGGGCGGGGTGGGACCTGGAAGCAGAGGTTGGCCTGACCGACTGTCTGACTTCAGGAAGTCGTTAAGTTAAGCCTCAGTTTCTCCCTGGGAAATGCTTTCTAGGGCTTTGTTGTAAAACTCAATTATTGTATACTGTGTTTGGAGATCTTTGGTGTAAACATACAGATCTAACCTTCTCCCTCTCTCTGGGCTCAATCAAAAGCCACCAAAAGCAAAGGAGTTAGGGCAGTGAAACTGATGTGAAAAGACCTGAGGGCTCCCAAACAGCATTATTGAAGACACTGTAGTGTCTGGGTAATTTTAAAACACCGTGAAGCAGAGATTCCCTTCCATTCCTGTAGATAAGGAGTTAGATTTCACAGTATTCCTTGAGGCAAGTCAAATAGCCCATGAGTTTGAGCTGCAGGGAAGTGAGGAGAAGGTTCCCACCTTCTAATTCCCACTTCTGGGGGGTTGAGGAGGGAAGGGAGACAGGGCTCATCGGTCTTCTCAGCATGGCCATTGCTCCATGATTTTCATTGGCTCTTCTCTCACACAGATCCATCGTCTACTTGGAAATTGATAACCGCCAGTGCATCCAGTCGTCTTCCCAGTGCTTCCAGAGTGCAACCGATGTGGCGGCGTTCCTGGGTGCCTTGGCCTCCCTTGGCAACCTGAACATACCCTATAAAATAGAAGCTGTTAAAAGTAAGTACGGCTGGTTGGCTGGGGAGGAGAGACAGCCAAAACTTTCCAGCCTGATCCATGTTCAGTTGTCTTGTCAGCTGGCTGCACAGAGCACAGTCTGGTTTTAATAACCTTGCATCTTTTTTTTTTTTTTCCCTTTAAGTCTGTTCTTAAAAAAAATTGCAAAACCAGTTTATTATTTTTGCTTATTCCAGGTTTATTTCAAAATCATTACCACTATAAAAGTTATTTAAAAAAAAAAAAAAGAGAGAAAAGATAAAGAAAACCCAACCAGCTCCAATCAATCAGTGACATGCAAGGAGTTGAAGTTTGTATCTTGAAAATCCCCCCTAAATCCTTTTGTCTTAACAGCTCAATGCAAGCGCAATGATTTGAAGTTTGCTAATCCTTTTCCTTAAAGGAGAAAAAAGTGAAGCTGTCTCCTGATGCATGCTGGCTTGTGCAGCCGAGAATTTGCCGATAGTTTGCAATTCTGATTAATAGCGTATAAAATGACCTTATTTTGGGGGGGCTGATTTAGATCAGACTTAGGTACCTCTATTAACTAATTTTCCTTCATTTCCACTCTGTCACTGGTTTGCTATGCAGCTTAATGTCTCAGCATCTCTTTGTGCCCCACTGTTTTGTAGGTGAAACAGCTGAGCCCACGACGAACTCCCAGCTGTATCCTATGTACGTGGTGGTGGTTGCAGTGGTCTTGCTTGCTTCCGTTGGAGTGGGAGTATTGGTGTCTCGTAAGCGGCGCAGGGAGCATGGGCAGCTTTGGTTCCCAGAAGGCTTCAAAGTGACAGAGTCGAGCAAGAAGAAGCGGCGAGAACCACTTGGAGAGGATTCTGTTGGACTGAAGTGAGTAATTTGCTTGCTAACCTGTTAAACACAGTGCAGGGGGCTGCTCGGGGCTCTTCTGAAAGAACGCATCGGAGTTTTGGTCTCTAGTGCATCATATTGGTGTAGTGGGGCGTCCTGGTTTTAGGAGAAAAATCAGGTTTCTTAAAGTTCTGCATGGGGAAAACAGTGTTCCCGTCTGGAGGAGGTTTTTAAAGGCTTCGTGGTCTGTGTGCACTTGGTAAAAAACTAAAGGCAACCTGAGGGGAACCTCCTGGAAATTGCCTTGTTGATTCTTCTGTCAGTTTGTGCACGTAGATAAACACAGTCCATCACAGACTAGTTCCTGCAGAGGAGCTAATTTTTCATGTGGTTTTATTTTTAAAGACCCCTCAAAAATGCTTCAGATGGCACACTGATGGATGACAACCAAAATGAGTGGGGTGATGAGGAGACCTTGGACACCAAGAAATTCAGGGTAAGCCCACTGCCACATTTCCTTTTCTGTGCTGCAAATAGTCACTTGCTGGGTTTTGTCATGGAAGGAGCAGAGCACTGTGGGCAGCAGCAGAGTGGAGGGACCCTCGGGGGGCCCGGGCTGCACTGCGCATTGCTGCTGCCAGCTCCTTTGCGAACCTGCGTGTGACAAACGCACCTTTGAGACTTGTAGAACTTCCCACGCTAAAGTCCAGTTCCCCCCTCCCACCCTGACTTGTGCACTTTGTTGGGTGCTCATTTCCTGCTGTCGTTCCTCAGTTTGAGGAGCAGGCGATGCTGCCCGACACGGACGATCAGACAGATCACAGGCAGTGGACCCAACAGCACCTGGATGCCGCCGACCTGCGCATCTCCTCCATGGCACCTACTCCACCGCAGGGAGAAATCGATGCAGACTGTATGGATGTCAACGTCAGAGGTCCTGGTAAGGTGGACTCCTTCACTTCTGTGCTGCTTGTCAGCTAATCTAAAAATCCTCCCTTACCCCTTGCAGATGAGCAGTCCCAGGCAGCCCTACCTGTCTCTGTTGCTAGTACGGAGTCACTGCTAGCTGTTCTGCATTGCCTGGCTACTGTTGTGCATGATTTAGAGATAGACCCTGTCACATTTTGCTTTCTATGAGATCTCTTTTGTTTAATCACTGAGACGGAAATTAAAGAATACAGAAGTACCTGTTAAATCATCCAGCTTGTCTCTCTGCCACTCCTACATTCCTCTCCTCCCACCAAACTGCACATTTCACAATCTTCTTTTCAGGTTTTTAACTATATTAATAGTTAACAGGCTTTTAAATTATTACAAACATTTGGTCCTCCTCATGGCTGTGAAATTGTCCTCTGAAATAATGAAAATAGTTAAGGCTGCGTTGTACCATACTCAAGTTTGCTTTGAGCAACCTTCCTTATAAATTGCGCCTTACGCGTTAGTGCGCAAGCTAGCAGATGAAATAGGAAAAGCAGTGAGTGGTGAGATACCACTAAGGAATTTCAGATCCATATCAGAGGAAGGATATCAGTGTTTGATGTTTAGAACCAGTCAGGAACTCAGTCTTGATGCACCCACGAGAATAAGCCTCTATCACAGAGCGTCTTGCTGAGCCGCCTGCATTACAGAGGGGTAAAAAGCCTTTTTTCACTGAGTTCCCCTGTGCTTTTCAGATGGCTTCACCCCCCTCATGATCGCCTCGTGCAGCGGAGGAGGGCTGGAGACTGGCAATAGCGAAGAGGAAGACGATGCTCCCGCCGTCATCTCAGATTTTATTTACCAAGGCGCCAGTTTACACAACCAGACTGACCGCACCGGCGAGACAGCGCTTCACCTGGCAGCCAGGTACTCCCGATCCGATGCTGCCAAGCGCCTGCTGGAAGCCAGTGCTGATGCAAACATCCAGGATAACATGGGCAGGACACCCCTCCACGCTGCTGTCTCTGCCGATGCCCAAGGTGTCTTCCAGATTTTATTTACCAAGGCGCCAGTTTACACAACCAGACTGACCGCACCGGCGAGACAGCGCTTCACCTGGCAGCCAGGTACTCCCGATCCGATGCTGCCAAGCGCCTGCTGGAAGCCAGTGCTGATGCAAACATCCAGGATAACATGGGCAGGACACCCCTCCACGCTGCTGTCTCTGCCGATGCCCAAGGTGTCTTCCAGGTAATTGATCTTTTTGCCACCAGTCTCAGGTTTTTCTGGGGAAATACTGGTGCTACGTGTCACACAACTGAGCTTATCGCAGGTCTCCAGCTTGCCCTGGCAAGGTGTGGGGTGAAAGTCTTGAAAATTGAAGCCTGTGTTGTCTCAGGGCAGGGGACAGCAAAATAGCCACCCCATAGCTGCCCTCCAGATCTGCACCTCTGGACTGGAGGTGGACCAGCCTCTGGAAAGGAGGTTGCAGGTCCTGAGACCTGGGTACCTGCCGTGTCTGCTGTCTGTCCCTCCTAACGTTTGTGTTTCCTGTGCTTTGGTCCTTGTTGCGGCAGATCCTGATTAGGAACAGGGCAACCGATCTCGACGCCCGAATGCACGACGGGACCACTCCCCTGATCTTGGCCGCTCGCTTGGCAGTGGAGGGTATGCTGGACGATCTCATCAACTGCCATGCAGACGTCAATGCTGTGGATGATCTAGGTACTGCAGGCAACCAAAACATGGGTCTCCTTCAGAGGTGGAAAGAGCTGCTTGGTGTTACTCTTACCACTCACTAACGGATGTTGTATTTCATGATCTTCCTCCGTAGGCAAGTCAGCACTGCACTGGGCAGCTGCTGTGAATAATGTTGAAGCTGCAGTAGTCCTCCTGAAGAATGGTGCCAATAAGGATATGCAGAACAATAAGGTAGGGGTCTCCTGGGTTTGACGTAGGCAAGGAAAGAATCATTTGGGAAATCTCTTAAAGGCTCATTTTTGCCTTAAATACAACCCCGTCTGGCACTGATTGTTCAGCTGTGAATGAAGCTGTTGGTTCAGCTCAAAGAAGCACTGTGAGATTTTGTCCTACAGGTGATGTTGAGGGGCCGTGCAGTGCTTGGTGAGCAGTATGATACAGTGTTTGTGTGGCCATCTCCTTGCATGTTCAGGGTCATTTGTAGGGTTCCTGGTTTGATGTCAGGATAAGGACTTGGGTCACCTGGGTAGGAAAATGGAGCAGTGAAACCTCAGCAGAGACGATTACCATCTCTGCCACCCATCTGCATGGTGTTGGGCATGGAGCTCAGGTTAGCATTAGCCAGAAGAATCTGTGAACTTAAACCTAACCATCTTTGCTGGGTTTCCAGGAGGAGACACCGCTGTTCCTCGCAGCCAGAGAAGGGAGCTACGAAACCGCCAAGGTCCTGCTGGACCATTTTGCCAACCGCGACATCACAGACCACATGGACCGGCTCCCACGGGACATTGCCCAGGAGCGCATGCACCACGATATCGTGAGGCTGCTGGACGAGTACAACCTGGTGCGGAGCCCACCACTGCACAACGGCCCACTGGGTGCTCCCACGCTGTCCCCACCGCTCTGCTCTCCCAACAGCTACATCAGCAACCTGAAACCTGCCGTCCAGGGCAAGAAGGCCAGAAAGCCAAGTACCAAGGGCCTGAGCTGCAACGGCAAGGATGCCAAAGACCTCAAAGCCCGGAGGAAAAAGTCACAAGATGGAAAAGGATGTCTGCTTGACAACTCCAGCGTGTTGTCTCCAGTGGACTCCCTGGAGTCGCCCCATGGGTACCTGTCGGATGTTGCCTCTCCTCCACTGATGACCTCTCCATTTCAGCAGTCCCCTTCCATGCCTCTGAATCATCTGCCAGGCATGCCTGATGCCCACATGAGCATCAATCACCTCAACATGGCGGGGAAGCAGGATATGGCCATGGGAAACTCCAGCAGGATGGCCTTCGATTCAGTGCCGCCGCGTCTCTCTCACCTCCCTGTCTCCAGCCCCAGCACAGCGATGAGCAATGCCCCGATGAATTTCTCCGTCGGCGGAGCGGCCGGTCTGAACGGGCAGTGCGACTGGCTCACCAGGCTGCAGAACGGCTTGGTTCAGAATCAGTACAACCCGATGAGAGGCAACATGCAACCAGGGGCGCATCAGCAGACGCAAAACCTTCAACACGGCATGATGACCTCCCTGCACAACGGCTTGCCCAGCACAAGCTTGTCGCAGATGATGAGCTACCAGGCCATGCCCAACACCCGGCTGGCTTCCCAGCCTCACCTGATGCAGAGCCAGCAGCTCCAGCAGATGCAGCAGCAACAGCTCCAGCAGCAAAACATGCAGCCGCAGCAACAGCCGCAGCAACCCCAGCAGCAGCCGCAGCAGCAGCAGCAGCAGCCGCAGCAACATCACAACCCCAGCTCCAACACGAGCAGCCACATCGCCCAAAATTTCCTTGGTACCGAGCTGAGCCAGCCCGACATGCAGCCGGTGAGCAGCAGTACCATGGCAGTCCACACCATCCTGCCTCAAGATTCCCAGATGCTGCCCACGTCTCTGCCATCCTCCCTCGCCCAGCCCATGACCACCACACAGTTTCTAACTCCACCTTCCCAGCACAGTTATTCCTCCCCCTTGGACAACACCCCCAGCCACCAGCTCCAGGTGCCCGACCACCCTTTCCTAACGCCGTCTCCAGAGTCACCGGACCAGTGGTCCAGCTCGTCTCCTCACTCCAACGTGTCCGACTGGTCCGAGGGCATCTCCAGCCCTCCCACGAGTATGCAGTCACAGATGGGACACATCCCCGAAGCCTTCAAGTAAAAGATGATGTTTCAGTGACACTGGCACTCAGTGGGAGTTAGAAGCTCAAGGGAGGTCTTTTTTAAAAGGACATTGGATGCTTTTATTAAAGGATCCTTTTTAAATATGTTTTTATTAAAAAGAAAAAAAAAGACAAATTAATTCCCTTTTTTTTAGTATTTATTTATGTACTTTTTATTTTACATGAAAACACTGCCTTTTTATTTATATGTTCTATTGTTAAGAACTCAATGTGGGACACCAATTGTGTTTCAAGAAATCAAAAAATTAGGTTTTTATAGGACATTCTCTTCTGTTTGGGGGGGTTCTTTGTGTTTAATTTGAGAGGAAATGTTTATGTAAAGCTACAAGCAGCAATTTGTGATTCTGAAATGCCATTAATTTATTTTTTTCTCTTTCAAGTCAGAAAGAGGGGCAAGAAAGAAGAGGGGAAGGAAAAATTGACTAAAAATACCACTCCTTAGGGGAGAAAAAAAATTAAGTATGGTCAGATTTTTGAAATGTACTTTAAAATGTTTCCTTTGCTATAATATCTGAGAGGACATTTTATGGTACCAGTCATGAATCTTTGTTTAAATTTCAGTATTATATAGTTGTACATTTGCCTTGGTAATAGAAATTTTTGTTCTCTCTTGTTTTTTTATATATAAAAATATATATATTTAAATGATTTTTATGGTCTAAAAAAGAAAAATCAGGATTATAGACCTGTAAGAACAGGTTCTAAGCTAAAAAAACCCCTACAAAACATGAATACTGTCCCCCACCAAAATAATTGTATTTGCCAAACTTTTAAGAGAGCAAGCCCATAACCATGGAGTAGATACCAAACCCATCACTGTGGAGTTTATACACAAAGGAGACTTAATTTTACTTTGAATATCTTTAACTGTTTTTTTGTTTTCGTGTTTGCATTTGAGTAACTGTTTTAAGGAATAAATGCCAATATAAACTTGTAAACCACATCCTTATTTTAAGGATGGCCTGCCTATTTTAAAGAAGGCGTGTCTATTAACGCAGACAACCTGAGTGAGATTACAAAGCATTATAACGCTGCCACCGCCGGGTGCTCGCCTGTATCCAGCTCCTCTGGCAGCGTGATTGCTGGGTGCTCAGTGGAAAGCGCTGCTGGTTTTGGTGGGATGCTGGACTGGTTAAACAGGAGGGCGAAGGATAGCACAGCTGAGTCTGTGCCGTGAAACGTTAACATTTTGTTCTTGTTAGTCTGGAGTGATGCATCTTTTTTTATATTGATGTACACTCT